GGTCTAAGGATTTGCTGTGGCGTAGGCGTTGCTTGGGGTCCTGCCCAATGGCTTCGGGATTTGGTTTCGGGCTTCGATGATAACAACTTTGAAGGCTAATTTGCATGGACCCCGGGAGAAGGGGACAGGGAAAAGAAAACTTAAAGAGCTTTCAAGTTGCTTTCGCATTCAGTGACAGATTTTTCACGCACATTTAAAAAACATTTAAAAAACCATTAAATGTTTTTTCATCTTTTTTCTTCGCAGCTTTGCAGTCTGCATCACACCCCTCAATTTTTTTTTGGGAATTCCTTCTTTTTATTATACTCTTGCAGGGTATTGTAATTTTAGTCAGGAGTTTGCAACGCAGTTACTATATCATATAGCTAATATAGGAACGATCGGAAATTTGTACAAAATAAATTATAACTTTTAGCTTTTAACATATATATTTTCATCTATATGGAGATAAAGCCATTTTGTATTATATCATTAAAATCAGACTATTAAACCATATAGCTGCCATAGAACAATCGTTAAATGTAAGTCTATCTATCTATATCAGATATCAGATCTATATATATCTATATCAGTACAGATCCTATTCTCCCTAGCTCTTTTTCTTTAGATATCTCTCTAGAGATCCGCTGCCCTCTATGCTCTTTCTCTAACTTTCTCTGTTGTTGCTCTCTCTCTCACTTTCTCTGTTGTTGTTCTCTCGCTCACTTTCTCTGTTATTGCTCTCTCTCTCACTTTCTCTGTTATTCTCTTTACCCGGAGAGTATAAATACTGGCACTACCGTCGTACCGATCTCATTCTGTCCGCGGCCTCCGCCCTGTTAACATCTTAGTGATAGTGGTATTGATAGTGATTGCCCTCGACCCTAGTCTTATCACCTGACCAATGGGATAAATGTGGATAACCAGGAAGATGCTCACTTCGGTTGAAGTCACCAAGAATATAACTCTACGCTGAAAGGAATCAAGCCATGACGAAAAATGACGTGTGTCCTCTACTGCGGTAAGTGTTAACCATGACAATTAATTATGTATATATGTATATAGAACAGGCCTAGGTCTAGAATTTTTTAATTTATTTTCCAACTACTTATCAAATTGCCATGGGCCCTAATACTTTCAAATTAAGGATTTATATTTGACCCTCAAAGTCAAGAGGCCATTTTAATTGAATGTTGATTTCCTACTATTACTGTTGTTTCAAAACTGACCCTTACTTTGGCGCCAACTTTTCCTACATTATTATTCATTATTGTTATTGCAGTCTATATAATTTTGTCAGAAGCTTTTAACGCAGTAAAGGAGTCATTTCCGACCCTATAAACCATATATATTAATGATCAGTATCAAAAGAGGAATCGATCTAGACATGTCCTGTAGAAAACTAATTTTTCAAATTTTTTTCAAAGTTTCAAAATTTTATAACGGGTTATATCGTTAAAATTGTGAAAATTTGACAAAAATTTCAATATGTTAAATTTTAAAACTGAATATGCAAATTTGTTAACCGTATAAAAACTAGCACAGGAAAGCTTTCCAAATTAAAATTAATGCATTTTAGGCTTAATAATGATGTATCGAAAATGCTAGGGTATACACACTTCAGCTCCTCGAAGTTAACTTCCTTTCTTGTTTTTTTTTATTTGTTTTTCAGGGCTTTTCACAGTTTTTCATTGTTGTGGTTCCAGTTGTGCCTGCCTTGGCGGTGCTCTCTAATCTTTGCGCCATTTATTTACACTTGATTAACACGCGGCTGACATTTGTTTGACTTTTTCCTCTGTGCTCTGAAATTAAAATGCGAAACTCGCTTCTCACAAAAAAACATAGGCAAATTGGGGATTGTCGAACTTTTGCATACTCTTTTATCCATATGGATTGATATTATTTTTATAATTACAGATAATTCAAGTTATTGAATATTAACCTTAATATTGATACAGCTTCAAAGCCAAATAAATTTTAAAACGTCTATGAAGGCATATTAAGATATTTAAAATTGATATATCCTAAAGCACTTTCAAATAAAACTGTGTACTTTACGCCCACTCAAACACTCTATTTTACAAATCATTTCTAAAATAATACTACCCCGTAGAGGGAGGGTATATTTATATGCAAAGAGTCCCCTTGTGACACATTTGTTGTGGGTCCGGGCTCTTTGCCTTTTTGGCTTCTGCTTCATATTTTTGTGGTACAAAAATTATTCATTTGTGGAAAATTGTGACGTTGGTCGGTCCATGGCCGCAGGCCAAACTGATTAATAAACCAAACGTCAAATGCGCACAATGGCCACGCATCACCGGAGTCAAAGTTTGAGCCGGAGCCGTGGCCGTGGCCGGTGCAGGAGCAGAAGCCACCACCCCATGGCATCCGGAGCAGGATTGGGACCGGGGCCAGGACGAGGACGAGGACGAGGACGAGGACGAGGACCACGACCACAGCTGTCAACTGTGTGTCACACACTGGGGGGCGGGGTTGGTCTCTGACATGGGATGAGACGGAACTTCCTTGCAAGTGCAAGTAGGCCTCGAGTCGCATTGTTCTCGACTTGACTCCTTGCGGATCCCGGCGACTTGTATTCCTTTCCAGCTCGGTTCGAGGGCGTTGGCATTGTCATCTGGTGGGTCACAGTTGGTTGCTATTTGGCCAGCAAATTATTTGCATATTACAAAAAAAAATCTCGTAACAATGAGCATTTGATTTTCTTTGTAAGATATTCTTTTTTATGGGAAATGGGAAAAAATTGTTTGCAGTTCAAGGTCAGTGCTTGGCATAAAACATATTTTTAAAGGCATATTGTTGTGATTGTGGAATTTTAAAGATAAAATATGGTTTTATAAATGTTATGTTATGAATTTAACAGGTTTTTACATAATTAAGTTATATTTTTAACGTTGGGTGGACCAATTTTAAAAGCAAGTTACAATCCGGAAGGAGGAAAAACTTCTTAAGCAAAACCTTAAGAGCAACATGCACTACTTTCACTTTCCTAGTTTTATTAATTTTCGAATACATCATTAATGGCTGATATCGCGCCCCCAAACCTCCGTGCCTGTCCCTGAGGCATTCGAATCGAGCTCTGATTTATAAACATTAAGATTTATACGATTACTCTGTCGGATGCACGCCCACATACTCAAGGCGGTCATAAAAATGATAAAAAATATATAGTACTTGTACTTGGTTTGGGATATTCCCATTCCATTAATGGGGCCACGTTTAATGGTTTTTGCTTATGGAGTGTTTAGTGGTCTTTCAATCTGAAACAATGTTGGACAAACGCACTTGGTTTGCCTTTAATATATGGAATATCCGAATATCCTGCAGGCAAGTGTGCTGGTAAAACATTTCGAAACCATAACGAATTGCTTGACTTCTCTTTGATATGATGAGGCAGAACCATTGAGGGATCATTTATCATTTTTATAGCCATCGGCGAGGGTAAAAAATAGTTCTTAAAGAGTGGCAGGAAAAATAATATTCAATATTTGCAAATTCCCGGCCCGCTTTGTGGCTTTCCTAAAAATAACCCTAAGAAAATGTTTCCTCAATTTTCAAATTCAATTTGTCAATCATAAATTTCACGCTCTCTTAAAATAAATTTGCTGGCAATGGAAATTTTCAAGTGCCTGTGTCGAACAAGACTTTCCTTTCAATGTGTTGAAACATTTCAGTTTTTTGCAACAATTTATGGGCAAACTTTTCGGGGTTTTGGTCTGTCAGAGTTAAGCATCGGCCTCTGCTCTGACACATGACTTGAATGTCAATGGGCACAGGACACACACCCCCAATAAAAAAAAGAGAAAAAAAGGAAATAAGGGGAGGTCCTAAGCAGAGTCCTTCGTCTCAGACAATGTCGCGTTAAATTTGCACAAGTTGACGGGAATTCTGCTACTTTGTCTACTCCAAATTGTAAACTTCTGTTTCGTTTATTTAAGTTGGCCAAGGGGGTTACGCCTCCCGGAACTCACACCCCCTTGGCCACATAAATAACAAAATTTAAGGACAAAATATCAATATCCACTTTGCGAGACGCCAACTGCATGCGAATGAGTTTATTTTGTGGCAGCGGCAAGGAGTCTGGATCTGAATTGGACACCGCCTGAGCAAACATTTCGCATTGCAAATGAAATTCTGTTTCTATTTCTCACTTTTGTCTCACATTTTTTCTTCTTTGTTATTTTTGCATAATTCCGATTCGCTGCTGGCGACAACATATTGCAAAAGAAGTTTCTAAGTTGCAAAATTCTTCGCGTTTAAGTTTGTGGAATGCAAAAATATAGCAGCTGAATTTGAATGAGGGAAGAGTACTGAGTGTCTAAGATCGTTCTTTAAAAAAATATTTACCAGAGGTACATTTTATGTCCTATTATATTCTTATTTTAAGGTTCTATAAAGGTGTATTTACATCTTAATTTAAGTTATGTTTAAAAACATAAAAGCTCTGAATGATAAAACATCTATATACTTTTTTATTAATATTCCTGTAGCAACTGGCTGGCCAAGTCCATAAGCCAAATTTAATTTGTTCTCATATGACATTTACGGTCATATTCAAATAACTTCGTTTGTCATACTTCACTGACTTTGATGTCCTTTGGATCCAGGGGTTGAAGCTCGTTGCTCTTTGCACAATGGAAAAGGTTTCGCTAGATTAATTTAGGGTCATGCATATAATATAATTTTTTATGGTGGTGGAGTGGGCGGAAAAGGGGGCTTTCCTCAAGCCGCAATCAAGTGGCATAAAGAAGCTTTTCCATGTGAGGGAATTATTTATGGCTGAAAATGTCCTGAATGTGTCTCAAAAATTTAAATCCTTTGCTGCCATAGCGGAAAAATGATTTAATTTATTGCCTTCTTTGTGGGGAACATGTGTTTTTGAAAACTTTTCCTAATTAGGGGTAATAGATCTTAGAAACTAAATAAGATTTGATGACGAGGGTGTGGAGAACGTATGTGGTAAAAATTGTATTGTGTAGCTCTGTTGATAAAGTTTACATTCGTCACATGAAAGTGTTTGGCAGTGGGTCCCTCTTTATAATTCGATGCTCTTCTCTATGATAAGGGTTCCTCTTTAACAAGAATAATATCTTCGGTTCGTTATTAATTTTAGGCGATGGTTCTTCCCTTTTTGAGTTGAGGATGTTTAAAAACCGCTTTAACCATCCATCTATATGTTGTTTTTGCTCCATTCCCGCGTCTTCCTGAGTGGGGTTATGCCTAATGGATTTTATATTAATAATTCGCATTAGCCAGTTCTCCGATTTGATCTCGTTCACAATGGAGGGATTCCTTCTGGGTACTTGGTGGACGTTGTAGAAGTTCCTGTGCTGATCGTTCAGATGTTGTTCCTCAAAAAGTGGCATCTTCATTGGGGCTGCACATGTCTGGCTGTCTAGGAGCCTGTAGGAATAACTGAAGCTCCCTCCATATATTAACAATAGGACTCCGAAGTAATGATGATGACCTGACATTTTCAGAGTCGAAATTTAACTGCTGAATTTCTTTATAGCGATCGAAGTATTTATAAACGTTTTTTAAACCTTGAACTTGCAAAAGGCTAAGTAAACTGCAAAGTAACAGCTGTCCACGCTTAAAACAATATAATTTTAATATTAAATATTTACACCGGCATATATATATATATATATGTATGACGAAATATTTGTCTTCTGGGTTCGTCTGGTTGCTTATCCGCCAGTTCCAGACCACGTATTTGCCATTTGTGGCACAGAGGCTGCCCTTTCCCCAAACTAATTCCCCCGGGAAACCTTTTCCCCCTGAATCACTGTAAGTGACACGCGTGTCCCCCTCACACACAATTCACCGCGAATTTGTGAATTTGGTTACCTCGTAAAAAAGAAACTGACACGAATTCGAAAAGCGTTTCGGGGCGAACATTAACACATTTATTCCTACTCCCGACGCTAGTCCCCTGTCGCCCACCCATCAAGTGTGGGTTGAATAATTTTTTAAGTGACTTCTTTTATTTGCATTTAGAAGCGTTTAAAAAAAGCCAACTGGGACTTGCGGGTGCGTTTATGTGAATATATTAAGCGATTTTTAGAGACTGGAATGGTGGTGGGAAATGGTAGGGATACTGTGTCAAGAACGAAGTCAAATTAAAGATTTATTGTGAGGTAAAAAGTTTTATTTAATATGTATTGGATATATTTATTATAATCCAGATCAATATTTGATAATTTTCAACCTAGTACTCATTCAAGGAGCTTAAAATTGTGAATCCATGTATGTATTTTTGTTTTCCATAGTCTCTTCCTTGCCAGTTTCATCAGTTTCTACTCAATGAACTGTCTCTCCACCATGGCATTTAATCAGAAGCTCCATAAAAACTACTCCAGTGTCTGTCGTTTCAGGAAGAGGCAAGGGAAACAGTGACTACAGGATACTTTTCCATTACCCACTTAGACGAAATTGTTTCGTGTGCATTGAACATGATTTATTATGACACATAAACAACAGCTTAACTTCCGGGTAACTTGCACATATGCCGGTATGCCGGTGGCCGTGTGCTAAAAAATGAAGAAAAATGGCAGAGTGCCTGAGATATTGACTAAGAGCCCTGCCAGCGGCCACCTCAATGGCACTTACCTTTTCCGCTTAAACACCCCCAAGCCTGGACATAATGGTGACCTCCCTGCATCGGTTTGTCCCTGCTTTTCCTGATCCCACTCCAGGTTTTATTAGCCAGCAAGTTGTTCCTTGGTCGTAACGCTGTTTTTTATGCAATAGAATGGGTCTCGGGTCTCGTGCTCACCCGTGCGTCCAGTGGTCATCGCTTTTCCCCGGCCCACCCACAACGCGTCCGAGTAGTTTCATGTACGAGCACTCCTCCTTTCTGCCTGGAAAAAAAGGGAAATTTATTGTTCTCCCCGGCAGTTTGAGTCAAATGTTCCGAGTGCCTCAGGTGCGCCGGACAAAGGCCAAAAAGCTGGGGCGAGGGTGTCACTTTTGACATTTAAGATGCCGCACAATGGCCACTAATTTATACGCATCGCCTGCATGTGACAGGCGCATTTGTCGTCCCCGAAAAGTTTTCGCCACTTTTTCGCTCCTCCTGTCCATCCATTTGCAATTCCAATGACTTTTATGGCCTTGTGAATGTGTCGTCGTTGCCTCCCTTAGTTGACCACAAAAAATCAGAAGCGAAAAAAACTGTTGCATTGACAAATCTAATAAACAAATGACAGCCAGACAGAAGGACAACCGGGGAAACCGCACCAACTCTGTGCAATTGATTGGCGGAAACTAAATTGCAAGCACATGTTGCGGTGACACCGAGAGAGTATTAAAACGGAAGGAAATGACCAGCATCCGGAAATGATAGCTTGGGAAGTCAATGGTACGGAATAATTAAAATAAACACTTAAGTACACCTACCTTAAATATGATCGAACATATAAATTAAGCTACATACTTTTAGGCACTCATTTAAAGCAATGACTTAAGCTTATTTGAATGTCAAGCTATAATTAATATAAATTGTCTTCTATCTTACAATATCTTCCTTAGTTGCTTATCCTCAACAAGTATATCTGCCTCAAAATAAGTTAAGGTGTCATAACCTCACCATAACAATTCTTTCAAAAAGGTATTCGCAGGTTGTACTTTATAAGGAAGTAAATTTCCCTCGTCTTTCCTGGGTATCATCTTTTTATGGCCTTTTATGTAGCCTCTCTGCCTCTGTTTTGCGGGTTTCTTGGTTAATTGCTTGCAGTACATTGTTCAATTGTCTTATGGTTCATATGCATCTCTCTCACCGCCAGTCACTTTGTCTAATTGGGTCGCACATTACACAGAAGGCTCAAAGGATGGGGCTGTCAGTTGAGTTTAGTCCTTAGCAGCATCGTGCAATGTTCCACTTTCCGTACATTCTGCTTTACTTGTTATGCTCTAGCTTAAGAAAACATATGATTTGCAATTCAGGTTGCATAACTAATTTCAAAATAAACTTAAGCCCAGATTGTATCCCAATTCACTCAGTAAATAAGCTTTAAATTAATGCTAGGTGTGGCTTAATTTTGATTATTTTAAACATAATCTTAGAGTATTTCCTGTTTCGGTCTCCCCAACAGGACCCCCTGTCTTTCTACTTATCGAGTGTGGGCTGAGAGGAAAAGACAACCATTTGACAGCTCCTTCTGTGACGCTTAACTGCTTGAGGTTTTTCGGTTAAATGCAGTGACGCCATGAGCCATTAGGGCTAAGTGATTTGTTGTTGTTCCCGAGCTGCGCTTAGCACCTTGCAAATTGCCAGCTCCAAGGAGACCGATGATGAGGAGGTGGACTCGCCTTGGAACGAACTAATTGTGCGGAAGCGCAAAACACTTTCCTCCCGCCCGACAGAAGCAGTCTGCTCCAGTTTCAGGCTTCCTAGTTCCTTACATGTTCGAAGGCTTGAAGGTTTGAGGCTGGCGAAAGGCAGAGTGTCAAAGTTTATGAAAATTCTGGGCATTGTTGTCCTGGTCGAAAGTTTGCACAAAGTAAGCAAACTTTGCCAACTCAGATACCAAGTTTCACAGGAAAGTGTGAGCGAGTTCCAAGTCTGTGGTGTGTCGGATGGATATTACATATTACATGCTGGGTGTGTGTGCTCATATCTGGTCATTGTTGGCACGCTGACATCCCTGACATTTGGCTGATGGGAAATCTGATGTCAGGAAAGTGTGACTCCGATCCAAACAAGAACTTCCTTGTAGATGGTTGATAACCGAAGGGTTGTCGTTGGCCGATGTCATGGTTGTTGGAGTTTATTTGGGAAGTGGGGAGCCTGTCAGAGGATGGCTTACTTGGACAATCAACATTTATGGTCAGATTTCTAATAATTGGAATTAAAACATAAATTCTACATAACAAAAGTCATAATTATTTTATATAATCCACCCTGCGGCAGTTCACGTATGAAATTATATTCAATGAGACGGTGTCAAATTAAAAAATATAACTCAAATTCGAAACCCTATTCCGGTTCAGTTATTAACCTCAGCTTCTTACCCTCAATTGAGGTCGCTCGAGCTCACCCGCCATAAAACTAATTGCCAGTCGTGACCATAACTATCGCTCCTTGTTCAACCACCAACCAACCACCGCAACCTCAAAGAGTCAAAAATGCAAATGCGAAAATCACTTCCAGTTATGCCCTCGACAACTTTCTCTAATCATATGCAAAAGTAAGAATTAATCAATGATTTACAAGAACAATACGTGTGCACATGTCGCAGAGCAGGCAGAGCACCGCCGGGCAGGGCGGTACCGAGTTACTCCCACTCCAAAGCCCACTCCCAGAGCCAGAGCCAGGGCCAGACCCAATCTGGACGTGGCCAACACCCGCTTGTTAGAGCAGGGCCACCCACTGCCCCCGGGTGTCGGTTTTTCGGGTAGAGAGACAGGTCAATGGGAGGGCAGGAATCAGGGAATCAGGGAATCAGGGAAGCAGGGACTCTGGGATTCAGGGTACCTGGGTCCATTGCAATGAGCAAAGAACACAAATAAGGCGTCGGCACTGATCCTTGTCAACCACCGAACAACAATAATTTCACAGTACGAGCCGGAGATGCAGACACCGAGTATCCCAGCCTTGCAGCCTGTGCTAATAATTCAATTAGTTGCAAACTCTGGTGGTTGCGGCCACAATCCGCACAGAAGTTTCTCCGCTGGTTTGCCATGGAGGCAGCTCTGCGATTTGGGTTCGGTTCAATAATCAAAATGCCGTCGGCCAAATATCGCACCAGTGCATAAATTGCCGGTCTGAACTGGTCTCTGGACTTGGTATTCCTTTTGCTTATTCGGAGGCGCTCCTCTGTGGTGGCTTCTCTGGTTTGCCTGGCATGGGGTCGGTCCACCGATATGGGACAATGTGCTGTGCGCGCTTTATGTAATTGCTCTCGGCTTATTGTGCCATAAATACAATTGAAATCGGCCAGAGAGTGCCAGCCAAATGTGCGAATTAAATGAATCCATAAATAGTTGGTAAAGAGGTTTTAAATGAAATCGAAGTTAATGTATTTTTAAATAAAATATATGTATGTCTGACAGAAATCCTACTTACTAAAGCTCTCTAATAATAGTCACCTAATTGTAGAGTAAATCTATCCATAATCCGTACCACAAACATCTTCAATACAATCTATTTTATAATCATCCCACCAAACTCTCTATGTAAACAGTTTACTTGCCAGCAAATCCCCGAGTTAAGACCAAGTAATTGTGGTATAAATAAGAGTGCCAAAGTATCGAAAAGAATCAACATATCAAGATACAAGACGAGGGATGTTGTTGGCACATGTAAATTGTGAAATGGTAAATAATCGTAAATAACGCAAATATCGCCTCCAAGGCGGCAGAGGAGGCTTCGTGGCTTCCACCTCTCCAGGTGGATCGCTGCCGCTGTGCGGTGTGAGTTATTTATCCACTCACACTCGGTGTAATCCCATAAGCCGGCGATGGATTCACT